GGAGAAATTATTTGATTAATTAATTAAATAAATAATTAATTGGATATGGATTAGTGCGAGCGTGCAAGTGGGAGAGGACTGTGGTTGCCCCTTAGCCTGTGGTTGCGTGTTTGTAAGTCTACAGCCAGCGCACCTAGTGGAAGTGAACTGAAACGTGCATGTTAACAAACCCACAAACCAACACTCAAACACACGCCGGTGAGAACATAACCTCCGCCAAGCCCCTGGCGGAGGTAATTAGCAAAACATAAAAATTCAGTCTGTACGGGGTATAAACGTCGTGCAGTTCACGCACATGTCCGTCATCAGTGTATGTTCTCATGGTGTCATCAGTGTATGTTCTCATGGTGTCATCAGTGGATGTTCTCATGGTGTCATCAGTGTATGTTCTCATGGTGTCATCAGTGGATGTTCTAATGGTGTCATCAGTGGGTGTTCTCATGGTGTCATCAGTGGGTGTTCTCATGGTGTCATCAGTGGATGTTCTCATGGTGTCATCAGTGGATGTTCCCATTAGGGTCATCAGTGGGTGTTCTCATGGTGTCATCAGTAGGTGTTCTCATGGTGTCATCAGTAGGTGTTCTCATGGTGTCATCAGTGGATGTTCTTATGGTGTCATCAGTGGATGTTCTCATGGTGTCATCAGTGGGTGTTCTCATTAGGGTCATTGGTGGATGTTATGAGAACATCCACTGATGACACCATGAGTAACATCCACTGATGACACCATGAGAACATCCACTGATGACACCATGAGAGGGTCATCAGTGGATGTTCTCATGGTGTCATCAGTGGGTGTTCTCATTAGGGTCATCGGTGGATGTTCTCATGGTGTCATCAGTGGGTGTTCTCATGGTGTCATGAGTGGATGTTCTCATGGTGTCATCAGTGGATGTTCTCATGGTGTCATCAGTTGGTGTTCTCATGGTGTAATCAGTGGATGTTCTCATTAGGGTCATCAGTGGGTGTTCTCATGGTGTCATCAGTGGATGTTCTCATTAGGGTCATCAGTGGATGTTCTCATAGTGTTATCAGTGGATGTTCCCATTAACCGCGGACCATCATCCGCCATGCCAAGTTGCCGCTGCATCATCGTTAATCACATTGGTCACGCGAATTACTTCATTACAAACACGCACTCATGCTCGCACGCACGCACGCACATACACACGCGCGCACACATACAGGCGCACACACCTACACACACACACACACACACACTCACACATACACACATACACACACACACACACACACACACACACATACACACACACACACACACACACACACACACACACACACACACACACACACACACACACACACACACACACACACACACACACACACACACACACACACACACACACACACACACACACACACACACACACACACACACACACTCACACACACACACACACACTCACACACACGCACGCACACCCGGGCGCGCGCATTCGTTATGTATGCATAGTCTTAATTATGGCTGTACTATGTTCATTTAATGAAAATAAGCGGAAATCACTACAGCCATTGAAAGAACTTAATTGGAATTTTAAACGAGTTTTTATATGCATCTAGCAGAATTATTGCAGCACAGTTCAGGACAACGTAAAAAAAATTGTGTAGCCATTCAAACGTTTTCTAACTTCATCTAAATAATTTTAATCGAAACTTACAATTGTTATTAAATGTATTATATCCAGCTTTATATTAAAAATATACACTTGAATAAGTTTAAAACAAAGCATTTCATACCACACAAACGCGTGTGGATTTTAAACTATCGCGCATAGATAAATTGTTACATCGAGTTGGTACCATATTCTCAACGTGAAATAGCGCATCGCCCCACGGGTTTTTGATAGTGCTTTGAATGTGTTAACATTACTGCAACGGACTTGTTTGCAGGGCTCATCCTTCCGGGCTCGCAAATTCGTCAACAATGGCTTCGCAGTTTAAAGAAACGTCTTTGTGGACGAAAAGGTGCAACCGCGCTGTTAACCGATCCTCTCCCATATCGCTGGATACAGTTTTGACATTTTGGGCAGAGTTGCTGCACTCTACAGTCGCGCTGGTGACTGGAGCGCATGACACAGTGGATGCTAAGGAATAGACACGAGTTTGACGATTCCACAGTGTCCACCAGTGTCATTATTAGTTGATTTAATTATTAGATTTATTCAATCTGGTAAAACCAGACCAAAATTAATGTAGGCTGAACTACTAATGTAGGCCCCTACTGACATCATATCCGTCAAAATCATCAGCGCGTGGACATTGGTCAGAGAACAATTCACTACCTTCACTATATTTGATCTCCAACTATTGAATATACTTGGGCTTGTGATTAATTTATGAACAAATAATCACAAGTTTGTTGTGAATATTGAACTGAATGACTTAATTACCTGAAACTCGCAGAACCTGAAGCGGGCAGATGATTTTTTGTTCCTGTTTTATTTATTAGTTTATATTTTTGTTCTCCATTTTTTTACTTTTAAACATATATGCAGTGTGTTATTTGCCTCATTAGGCATCTTGTATATTTCCCATCAAACTCTCTCTCCGTCTTTCTTCTCTATTAATTATTATTTTGTTCAATAAGGGGTTGACTTCATGGAGCCGGGTCGCCCATAAAACTTTTGGTGTTGGTCTCCTCTACGTATCCGCTTTCTTCGTGCAGATCACAAATCTTTCACAATATTTCATATCATCGTGGTCAGGTGAAAATTAGTATTCCTTCTTGTTCCATGAAACTTATTCGTAGTAATCAATCATTCTAGCCTGATCGCCGCTTTCGACATTTCGTCATCAAAGGATTGTAGCTTTTTCGTTTCTGTTCATATCGGAATTTCCCCCCTTCTAATCTTCTCTGGTTAATTTTAAAACTTTTTCTACTGCAATCCTCAGTGCTGATGAGTGATCTATCTATTCGATTCAATTTGTCTTTGTTCGTCTTCGGTGTAGTTCTTTTGACATTGAAGACTATATATTCGATCCTTACGAAGTTACGAGGTAACGAACCAAACACCTACGCAATGCACGCCACCGCGCGTTTTCCGACGGGGCCGTTGAACGCTGACTGATGCGACATCAATCAATATATGGTCTAGCCACTGTGCCGCCTCGACGAAGTCACGGGGCTATGACGTCAGAACTCCGCCCGATGCAGCCGGGGTGTGCGTCGGTTTTCAATCACTCTCACCGACCGTTTATATCGTCATAGTTGTTGTTTTTTAGGGTCCTGAATTTCAACCGTTATTGTCACCAAAGAACGTACATATATTCAAAATGGTATGTATACATTGGATGTTATTGATCATATTGCAACTAGGAAAGGTTATCCAATCGAGTTCTTTTCGAAGAATAAGAATCAGACTGTATACTCGCCTAGCTGCAACGAGGACGGCAGAGCCATATGTTCGAGTAAAGATTTATTTTTATTTTTTATTTTTATCTTTTGTTTAAAGAAATGATTTTCTTTTTCTTTTTCAGCGTGAATGTATTTCTATCCATGTTGGTCAAGCTGGTGTCCAGATTGGTAATGCCTGCTGGGAGCTGTACTGTTTGGAACATGGTATACAGCCTGATGGTCAGATGCCCAGTGACAAGACCATTGGAGGTGGCGACGATTCGTTCAACACTTTCTTCTCGGAAACTGGAGCAGGAAAACATGTACCACGTGCAGTGTTTGTCGACCTAGAGCCAACGGTAGTCGGTATGTGATACAAATTAACTTATCGCGGGGAAATCGATCCTTATATAATTGACATAATGTTACTCGTTATAAAATTATAGTTGGCTAGAATTCTATATTTGGGTATTATTAGAAATCAGTCTTCTCTTTCATTGCGGTAGCCAGCAGTATTATCGGAAGTATATAATAGGGAAGTAGTGTGACTTCAATAAACAAGGGAAATTCGTCATTTACTAGCCTTAGCATACCTACGATTTACTACGCGTAATTCAACCAATTTGAGCTCAAATCGCACACAGTACATTCGCCTAGCATTGTGCGAAATCGTTTCCTCGTATACACCCGCAATCCGGA